GACCTCAGCATGAGTTCCAGTTATGGAGGTTTCTCACTTATCCAGGTCCCACTTAACCAAGTTTCACTGTATATACTATTTATTATTAACCTAACAATAATTAGATATCTATGGCATTCATGTGTCAAAATAGCATGTCTCCGCCAAGCTGTGTGGCACCAATTGAAATAATTTGAGCGTGTCCGTCAATTAACGTCGAAACTAATAAAGCAAAGTAAAATATTGACAAGCTGACTTAGTCTTATCGGTGTCGGAGGGTATAAATGCTTTTGTAATAATTAGTTCGTCATTATAAAATTTGTATTTATTACTGTAAAACAGAGATACAGCTGTTATTATTGAATAAAACAGGATCCGTTATGTTAGAAAATATTTAATTAAATTCAGAATTGAAAGCGGTTATTACGCCACATTTTTAAAAAATTCTGTTTAATATTTATGATTTTACGTTTAGGGAAACCATAGACTAGCGAAGAATTACAATCACGATATTTTAAAGATAGGTAATATCGTGTTGTTACTGTTTGATATTTATTCAATGTATAAGAAATGGTAACCATGGTAACGATCGCCACATTGTCTAGGGTTGACGTTTTATACTATGGTAGTTACGGCTTATTAAATTGTGTTTAATTTGTAACAATAACATTTTGTTATTCTTGATAATGATGGCCTGAGGCTAGCAAGGACTGATGTACATTATTATCAGCCTTGTTAAATGATTAATAGTAAAAAGCAGGATTACGATAATCTTCCGTGGTAACATTTCTTAACCAAACATATAATTATTACTTACACATCTTACGGAACATACTATGTCATTAAATTAAACACAGCGACAAATTATATGTTACAAGGTAGTGCGTAAGAACCTATCAATTTTGATTGATAACATTTCAAAGATTGATTAAGTTTTTTGTGAGTGTTTCACGTTAAAGTAGATTAATCATATTTTAATCAAGTGTTCGCGTGATGTCAATGTCTTTTTGTTTAGGAAGTCACAAAACGATGCCGGTTTCTTTTTTAATAATTTATATGTTATAAATAAAATAAATTTTAATTAGCGAGATGATTTATCATTCGTTTTTGTTTTGTAAGAAGAAATGGTCTTCCATATCTATTTGGTAAATCTCTAATCCACAGAAAGTTATCTGGCATGATTATACTTGTAGCGACACCTACAATCCAAAGCTTCAATCATTGCAATGACGTCATATCCTTAATTGCGCTACCAAAGCTTTTACGATCGCTAGGCATATGTACAACTTCTCGACGTTACCAACTAGGATTTTTCCTTTAGATTGGAGGTTCTGTACACCGTTCTTTCTCCACATACTAGAGGAACGCGAACTATGGCATAACATAGACCGTTGAAACAAAAATATTCAAAAACTTTAGGAGAAATTATGATATAAATATATATCTGCAAATATATTTATATTTAAGTAGTGTATTTATATTGTTTATATTCATTATGTTTGGGTTATCTGGAAAAAATCCTTTGTCTTCATTTATTTTATTTTTCTCCTGTTTTGTGTTATTGTGATGTAAATAAAGTGTTATTATTATTATCTGTCATACAGTAATCGCGTACCCGATACGATAAATCGTATAGCTTAAAAAGCCTTAACAAACACAAGTCAATTAGCCGTGTGGTATAAATCAACGGTGTCAATGTGGGTGTGATATCGTCGGTTTGTTTTCGAGGTAGTCTTTTTATTCAACTCATTTGTTCGATTTCGATTGTATAATGGTTATGTAAATTTTAACCATTGGAGATATGCTTTTATTCGAACAATGCTATAGACACTTTGAAGTTGAATAGATGTGTGTACTAATTGATCATAGGATGATATTCAGGAACGATAATTCGCACTAAGTTTTACTTCCGTACGTCAAAAACCTATTAGATTTTGACATATGATAGTCGTGACAAAGTGTGTCTCAAGATCAAATTATGGTCTAGTTACTTGCCCTTAAAAGACAAAACATCAAGGGACAGTTTCCAGAAATTTGACGCTAGGACCCTCGGTTTAGAGCCAATGTTTTTCTTTTAACTTCTAATCCTATGATATGTTACCAATTATATCAGATAATGGCATTTATATTCAATATTTAATTTAAGGAATATGAGTAACTTATTTAAATGTCTTCATGCAACTATAAGAGCGTATTTTTTTTGTAAAAAATGCATTTCTTACTGGCTGTGCGTAAAAATGTTATATACAAATTTTATATTTAGATAAAACTAGAATATGTGCAAGCAATGTATTTTAAATAAAATTCCACAGTATCCCATAGTAAGGGTACATTATTCTATTGTTATATTCATGTCTATAATCTCTGATTGTTCGAATTTATTACTGCATAATGTAATTAATTGTTAATATAAATACAATTGTGAGATTTAGTTTCACGTTATTTTCTTATTAGTACATAAATATAAGTCCTGAATTTAATTGATGTTAATTAAATAATAAGTAATTTTATTCCCCTTGGCTATACAAATTGTTTGAATCATTTTTATACATTAGTCACAGACAATCAAAAAACACTAAAACCTTTTTTGTAGCCTATAATCTGCCTAGCGGTATAGGTCACTGACCGTCGGTCTCAAAACTATGAAATTTAAAATGTCAATTTGAAAAATTTATAGCTCTACTTAAAATAGTTTTTAGCTATTTTAATCAATTATTAAAAATAATTTTGCATTTGAGGCTAAATGTGAATTGTACAGTTAAAAATTATATGATTTTGACATTCACAGAACACGCCACAGTATATTAAATGACTCTAGATTTACGCATACTTTTATAATACTTAAATAATTTATTAATTATGGTGTTTGTAAAGCGCAAGAAATATCAATCAGTTTTTTAATTGTGAAATTGTGATAATTAACGCAATTTATATATGAAAATACGGCATTTTTTTATTTGTTAAACCTACTTAATTGTTTTAAACTTTCTGTACAATAAGTAGGTTCCATAAATTCTTAGTCCTGATATTCGATTGATGTGTAAAATTAACATAGTATTGAATAAAAAATTAAAATTTTTACACATTAAAAAAAACAACAAAACAGTTACAAAAAGTATTTCGGGAAGTATTTTACGACAGGAAATTACAGTTACCGCTAATTCGGCTTAATTGTTTATCTGTGGGAGGTACGCACCACAAGGGGTAGACATTAATTATTGTTTATTTTACTACCAGTCTTTTTACTAAATCAAGAAATTTTAAATGGCCTTTAGTGGTTTATATCAGGTTTTGTTAAAACATCAGACATTATTTAAAAAGTAATGTTTACGTGTAATTTTTATTAAATATCACTTTTATAACGAATGAGAATATTTTTTATGTATCCTTATTAAGTGATTATTTTTAATTTCACAAGGTAATTAAACTAGAATGGAAAGATTGGTTAGTACATCTTAAATAATATTTCTATATGATTGTATCCATGGCTCTTTTAACACGTTCACTGCGCCATCATTTTTAAAGAACTTTCAGCTGGTGCGTTGGAGACCTAAAAGATCTCGTAACAAGCCTATCCTCTGGTGCGTTTGAGACCTAATCAGTCTCCTAAAAATACACTTTTGAAAATAATTTATATCTTCCAAAAAACAATGACATATATTTCGAATTTTTTGTGGGTGAAAGATAGCAAATTGCTTTATATTTTGCTAGGTTCGCACGCAGTTACGACATTTGAATAAACTACAAATACCAAAAAAAAAATTAGATATCGATTGTATCTCGTACCGCACCCGAAGATAGTTCAATATGTGTAGTAAGTAGTGATGGGAATAAAATAATATCTCAGTTATCGATTCTAAAAGTTTTATTAATTATGCAAAGTGTTTTTCATTAAAACATGGTAAGCACATTGATTGCTTGCACATTACGCGCAAATGGTCACAATTCGTTTAGTTTTTTTAGAAGCGTCAGTGCTGTTTAACTGCGTGTGCTCCAACGAAAAAGGTTCATCTTTAAATATTTCATAGTCAGAACCACTGTCATTATTAGTCAATGGGGCGCAAATTTGAACATTATCCAAAACAAATATTTTACTGGACGATGCAGCAGTATAATCCGGCGTTGATTTTTTGTTAGAAACCTCACCAATAAAATAGATTTTTACACTTTTTTCTTTTAAACTTAATCACTCATTGTTTATCAAAAATAATCAACACGCTGGTATATACGCGAGTGTTATTTCCAAAACGTGCCCGGAACTTCCCGAATGTCGATTCTAGGACAACACTAAAAATCCCATCCTCCATCTCTTGCGTCTACGAGGCGTACGATTTCACGAGTACCGACATATCTCCTAACGCAAGGAATTAAAACAATTACAATACTGTGCGTTAGGGACCTAATCCATCTCTAATTTATTTTTTAATGTCCTTGAATTCAGCTTTAAGTAGGAAGTAAATATGTATATTTGTCCTGCTCATCCTTAAAGAACTTTACAAGTTACATCCTCCCGCAAGGAGTGAAAAAACACGATTATGTTCAACGCACAATACAAAAGTCCTGCAAGAGATCTGATAGATCTCGTAATGCAAGGAACGTGTTAAGTCAAAGTAAATGAGCAATCTGCAGCAGTGTTGGCCTAGTGGCTTCAGCTAGCGACTCTCATCCCTGAGGTCGTAGATTCGATCCCCGGTTATGCACCAATGGAATTTCTTTCTATGTGCGCATTTAACATTCGCTCGAACATCGTGAGGAAACCGGCTTGACTTAGACCCAAAAAGTCGACAGCGTGTGTCAGGCACAGAATGAGGATCTAATCTACCTACTTTCCTATTAGATTAACAAATGATCATGAAACAGATACAGAAATCTGAGGCCTAAGACCTAAAAAGGTTGTAGCGCCATTGATTTTTAAATGAGCAATCTACAAATCTATACCCACCTTTAGATGCAAGAAGATTAACGTACCTATCCCCAAACATGTCCTAAATTAATATACAAAAAAAAAACAAATGCAATACCTAAAGGCATCACGTGTCCGAAGTCGTTCCCATCGCCAATGCCTGTGCAGTTCCACCTATAGCCTCCAAGCTGGTTTCGACATTCCGCGTACGCCATCCTGCAATTATAGAAGTAGAATTTGCAAACAAATAATAATAACAAACATTATTAATAATAATATAGTAATGGGAATAAGAAATATTTACATTAGGAACAGGACAAGGATAGAGGACATTACAAAGAGTATTCGAAATAACAAGTGATGTACAGGACACACTTTGCAAGGAGCTGAGAAGTAAAACTATAATGAGTTGGTTCCCAAAAATGGAAAGGCGGACAGTACAAGAGATAGGAAGATGAAATAAAACTGGTTGCAGGAATGGTTTGGAGGAGGCCTCTCCGGGATCGGCAAACGGACTTAAGTTTGTTTTTAATTGGCTATTTTTATTTTATTAATAATGTAGGAATAGTTTAGAAATATTATATATAGGAAATATTAATAAATAATAAAACGGTACATTGAAATTTGAAAGTGAGCAAGGGGGTTAAAATGTAAAACAAATGACGACATGAAGGCGAAGCCAAAAGCCTTTGACTATTTCATTCAGACTATATTTAACAATCTCAAGAAATGTGTTGAGTCTTTCATTATTCGAACATACTTTGTAATTGTTTAGGTGTTATTGAACATTCATGATCTTACCTCAACCCGTCACCAACAGCTGCAATCGCGGCGGGGGAAGATCGACACATGGCGCGTTGCTTGTCTGTTAATCCCGCCACTCTCGCGCACACTAAATGTGCGCCTAGCGATACACCGCCTGGTAGTGCGGGTCTGGAAAGAAGATAAAATTTAATTTATTAAAAAGGCAATGAGATAACCCTAGGCTAAACACGATAAGAGTAAGAAAAGCAAGGGGTAACATATGGGCGTCCCGTTAAAGGTGTAGCGCGTTTAAGCTTCTGGATCTTAAGATACGAAAAATACGGATGAAAGTGCAAGTATGTAGCGAAGAATTAACTGCCGAAAATATATATTCTTCATCATTAGTCAGCCTAGCCTTTGCTGACTGTACTTCTACAGTCCAGCGTCAGCAAGCTCCAACCACGCTTGCTCTCGCAGCTTAATAGGTTTCTAAATTCTTTTACTGAATACCGACTTATTTGTGACGCGTATGCGGGTAGTAGGTACTATGATTTAAAAACGTTACAAAAGATCATGTATAGCAGAAGTATTTATTAGTTAATTGTATAATAATTCTATTATTTGGCTTTATAAATGTAAAATAGTACCTAATGTTCAATAACAGGTAACACGGCTGGAAGATTTGGGCGATTGTGAAAATCTGCGTCTACTCAATTAAACATGATCTATGTGGTTTCAATTTTTTTTATTTCTCTTATCATCTTCACGGTTCATGAACCGGCAATCTCACTTATTTATTCGATAGTTTTTATTTAACGAAATCAAAAGTTAACTGCTGTCTAATGGTTCCAGGTGCTTACACACATTTAGTAAAAAAACTTGGCGCTGAAATATTTATTGCCAGTTCTTCTACCGATATTAGAACTGGCAAGTCTTAATTTATTTATTACTGACGTTCAAAATGAATATGATGTTACTTATGTACCAGTGGGCCAATAGTTAAAAATAAAAGAAAAAATATATTAAAGTAATGATTAAGACGTTTATTTTAGAACGTCAATAAATTTCAATCTAGTATCAGGAGCTGACAAATCATTTTTTCAGTAAGAAGTTTGAAATATTTGACAGTGCTCAGGACAAGATTGTGACTTGAGATACAAATTAGAACATAGACTTAAATCGCCCAAAGGCGTTTCAGTTTACTAGTAAAATATATCTATTGATAGACCCAAGAAATTGTTAATAACCTTAGTTTTCAGTCTTATGATAAAACAAATAGCTATATTTGCATTAAACACACATACAATTTATAAAATAAATACAATTGTAAACACTATATCTATTTATTTTGAAGAGTGAAATTTGCGTGTGGCCAGTTTAGCTGTTACATTCATTAATACATCTTCGTTAATACGTCCAATTAACGTTTAGCCGTGACACGGACAATTCACACAACGCCTACTGAAACTAAGAACAAATTGAGGATGCAGTTAACTTCTATGTACGACATGCAAAATAGGATATTTTGTATGGAATTGGAATTGTATTTGAACAAAATTAATTAACATGTGTATTCTAACAGATATAGATGGCCTAGTGGATTCAGCGTTCGACTCTCAGCCCTGAGGTCGTACGTTCCCCGGCTGTGCAATGGACTTTCTTTTTATGTCTTTTTTTTTTTAATTGAATTTAACATTCGCTCGAACGGTGAAGAACATTGTGAGGAAACCGGCTTGCATTAGACCCAAAAAGTCGACGGCGTGTGTCAGGCACAGAATGATGATCTAATCTACCTACTTGCCTATTAGATTGACGAATGATCATGAAACAGATACAGAAATCTGATGCCCAGATCTAAAAAGGTTATAGCGCCACTGATTGATTTATTTATTCTTATGCTTATGTTTTTTCTTCATTTATTTTTATACTTTTACTAGTGGACCCCACAGACGTTGTCCTGCATGATATTTAAAGCGATTAGGATATTAAGCAAAGTATGAAAGTACCGACTGCAGTGCCATCTGCCGGGCTGATTTGTGAATCTAAACCATTACCAGATCCCCTTGAACACACACAAAAAATTTCATCAAAATCGGTCCAGTCGTTTGAGAGGAGTTCAGTCACATACACACGCACAGAAGAAATATATATATTAAGATTGTAATCGGTTTAGCGTTTAATTAAAATCTTAGTACCTCGTTTCATCCAAACGTAATGTTGTATACATTGTCAAGGATGATATTTCCCATTTATTTCGACCATGAAAAAACTCGTTATACATAATGGCAAATAACATAATTCGATGGCAATTTTCAACAACCGGAAGTTACAATTGTAATTTTTAACAGTATCGAACAACGGAACTGCGCGTATTGTCTTCGTAATGAGATTTGTGCGCATGCACCGCGAAATATAACATATTCACCATATAGTCTAGGGATTGGCAGTTATTTTTACATTTTTCGGTGTTTTTGCGTTCAGTCTATATCAAGTATCTAGCATGTGTCCAAAATGATACGTCAACTGTTAACTGTCTGAAAAGTTTGACAATTAAACCAATATTGACGTTTGACACTATGACAGTGGCAAATATACCCATACCCAACAAGTGTTCTTGTTATAAAAATATGCAAGTTAATAGTGATTGAGTGGGAGATATATTATTTTAACTTTATATTAGCTTAGGATTAAAAATGCTGACAATGAGTTTTGCCATTTTATTCCTCTTTACATTTTATGAAAGTTATTCCTAGGAATAGTATTTTTAACTTTTAATAGTAGATTTTTACAATTTCGCTTAAATATCACGTAGTAAATGTATATAACCCTTTATTGATTTAATATATTACAACTAAAATACTATGTATTGTCTAGCCAGCAACGCACTTGCGAGCCTTCTGGCAATGTGAGTGTCCATGGGTGACGGTAATACTTAACATCAAGGTAAGCCTGCCCGTTTTATTCATGCTATATAAAAAAAGGGTGCGTGTACTTATGTACGCGTGTAAGAAGTTATACTTCTTTGGCATTATAAAAATAGTTTTTGATTGCATGCAAATAATTAATTACAATTAAATAATCAAAGACTGGAAAAGGAGTCATTATAGTCAAGAAAGTTCAGTTTACATTTGAAAAATTAAATAAATAAATATTTATTATTATTCTCTTACATTAAGTGTAACATAAATTCTATTATTATTCGAATGTTGTTTTTAAATGATGTCCAATGTTAATTTTGTGTTACGGTGCGCGCGCATTGTAAAATTTCACTCTCATCAATTTTTCATAACGCGCCTAAAGAAGTATAACTTCAAAAAGTTCAATTTAAGGCGCAAAAATGTGGTCACAGTCAATAAGACGTATATTAAGTATATAAGTGTAATTTTTTGGAGTGGTTCTCTAACTTTAGGTAGGAAACAAGAGCTTCGTCCGTATTTGGTGGACATAACTTTCATTACACTTCTACTAGTCAACATATCATATATAAATAGTCATAGTGAATAAAAACATTTTTGATATGGCAACTCTTATACTAAACGATGGTCATTGTAGGTTCTATTTAGTTCAAGTCACAACTAATGAATGTCACATTTGTGAATGAGAGCAAATGTATTCAAATGGACTACCGTTTTCATTGTTCTGTGGAATATTTGAATTTAGAACTACATCAAATCAAGTATTGCAAGCATTTTGTCTGTAATTGAGCGAATCATAACCATTTGTCGTAAGAATAGGAAGTAGTTTTGTTCAAACTGCCTTATTATAGTTTTGGTATAAATGCAAGTAAAAAATAATCTCAAAATAGTTTTACACAGCCAAACAATATGATATTTTTATGTTATTTTATAATTTATTCTAACAAGTGTGTGTCTACTAAATTAATTATTAAATGTAATTTTATTGTAAGCAGTAACTTTAAACCAATGACATGTTAACCTCTCAATGACCCACTCCTTACTTTTGGTCTTCAGTTAAAAATAAGATAAGCTTAAGACATTTGTATGACGAACATACTTTGCATAGTCCAAATAGTTTTAATATTAAGCTTACCAAGTTTAAAATGGTAAATAGTGATTAATGGCTCGAACATAATTACTCATATCCAATATAGGTTAATGATTTATATGTAATGAGAACCTAATAGATACTTTCTCTTAAGCTGTCAAAATATATTTTCAAAATTGTAATGTTAAATAATAATAAGATAATTATATAGAGAATTTATGTAGAGAAGTAGTAGAATTTGAGGATTCTTATGAATATTATTTTAATACTGAGAAACTATATTATGTGAAGGAAGTATGGTGTACTATTCCTTCAATCTAATGGGAGGATCTTCGTCCTGTACAACCACAGACAGGCCAGCCCGAAGGCCCCAGTGGCTATTGTTTATTTTGCCTCTGCTTGGGCCGTCGCTAGGTGGTCAATCGTCAGTTATCGGCTTTTAATTTGTCATTGGATTCATCCGGAGACCGGAACCGTGAACCTGTCAGGGCCTCCTACGGGCCTTTTATGTCGAGAAGGTAGCGAGGGGCTAAGGTAGAGAAGTTGTATATAGGGTATATAGCGGCCGGAAAAACTTAGTTAGAAATACAAAGTTTGTGTTGGTATCAACCCGAATACAAATAAAGTGTATGGTACTAGAAATGGTTTCTTAGCATTTAATTAGAGCAAAATATGTATGTAAACGATTCTTTGTTTAATTGATTAATAGTCAAATTTCGGGTCATTGTTTTACTAAAAATTACATTACAATTTATTATTATTATTGTTTATTATTTGTTATTGATGCGCGATTACTCTACGTAATGAAACATGAGTCTGGTGCTGATGTTCCTCCGACCTAATGGATCCTCGACCAGTTCAACCACTGACTGTCCCGAAGAAGTTATATGCCCTTAGCTGTCGGAATAACTTTGCTAGCGAGATTCAGGGTATATCATCGTAGCCACTTGGACTTTGCTCAGACTTACCTTACGAAAAACTTTGCTTAGTGTACACTAAGGTTAAACTATGATTTCGTATTTATAGACATTTTAACGGTGAGATTAAGCTAAGCCCAAGCTAAGACAGAAAATGTCAAAATACAAATTGATGTTTCATTTCA